GATATATTTACTCAGGAGTTCAGATGGAACAATTGATTTATTCGTAAGATTTCTCAATCAAAATATGGGATGCCGCGTCACGATAGAGGGTGGGAAGATTCAGCTCTCTCTCGCTCTCGAAATGCTTCTAAATGGCCACGCGTATACAGTCACCGCCATGGAAGTTCTACTCACTGCCTTCTCTCACCACGAGTGTTGTTTACGAAATTGAGAGAATGAAATGCGAATGTTCGGAGTTTTAACCAGGTTGGTGGATATGGTGGACCCATCTAAGGGAGTTGAAAAACCCTCATTCCAAACTAGTGTTGCACATAGGCTCCAGGATCTTAAGAAAATAAATGGCATATGGACCAATTATTGGTCATCGACTACCATGTGACGGCATCTCTTGACGTTGCTTCACTGCCTTGTGGATTAGACCTTTAGATCAAAGGCTTGGGGTGTCGCGTCCTCAGAAAACCACCTGCCTCAAATAGCTTTTTGTAATAAGATCTCATACTGTAAAGATGCATGGTAAATGTCCGGAATCTGTTGTCTTTTTCAGAACTATAGATACGCGTTACTGATAAGAACTGAGTAAAACAATATTTCGATCCAAATTTTTCTCTTGATTGTTTTCAGCTAGTGAACATTAGAATCGACATATATATATTCTATCAACCAGACAATTAAAAAACAATTATCCGTATTCCAATAACATTTTTAATCGTCAAACGAATGTTCAGCCCTATATGAATACATATAAGTCTTGTACAAACCAGCATTTTGGTAAAACAATACTATACCGTCAACCTACAGCGAGCCAATCAGAATAAAGCCGGCGTTTCTAGGTTTCAGCGTGATTTTTCAAACGTAGTCCCGGATAACTTGTTCCTTCTACAAGTAATGTTAACTGGATTTCGCATCATAGCCAATTTAGATGAACCAATAGTCCAGCGCCAGTAGGATGTCTGTCTTCTGAAAGATAGTATCTTTGTGATTATGATTAGAAAATGAGATTAGTAAAGACTAGAGATTCGAAAATGATATTATTGAATTGGTTGCAGTTAGACATTAACACCGTTGAATACCGGCTAAATGGTCTAGTTGGTTAAACGCTTGGCACGAGGCTGATGGGTCCTTGGTTCGGATCTCGCGATGCGCGGGATCGTGGATGCGCACTGTTGAGGAGTCCCATACCAGGACGAAACGGCCGTCCAGTGCTTCCAGGTTTTCCATGGTGGTCTAGCTTCAACTGACTCATGATCTTAACCAGTGAGATATTATTTTACTCTGTAGAAGATGCTAGTCAAATAAATCTATAAGGCTTAGTAAATTCTTTCCCAAATTAATACTGTCACTTCAACAACAACAACAACAAATTACGCTTCCAGTTCATTACTAATTCAGCAATACATGTAATTGACAAGTTCCAAATAAGACAATATTATCATTATAGTCATTATCTAACTCTACTAATCATTACTGTCTTTGTTAAATTATTCTCTATTATTTTCTTTTAAATTTCATTTCAAGGTAAATGGATTATCTATTTTATACCTTCGTTGGTAATCAAATTGAATTATGATCACTTTAGAAGGAAGTTTTTATTATAGTTGTATACTTATATTACACTCGAATAGTTCTATTACATCATTGGATAGATTACTTTATTATACTACTGAATACAAAACAAAAAAAGTGAACTATAGATGTTACTAATGTGATACACTTTAAACCTTCTTTATTTTCACTCACATTTTTACGTAACATGAAATCGATTATTTATTTTTAACGTTTTTAAAAGACACTTTGTCTTAAACATCATTTACATGGCTCATTTTATTAGTTACATATTCAGCAATCAATAAATGTTCAATGTTTAGTAACATAGGTGAGTGTTGTATAATAAAGTGTAATTCACTTTTCTTTTCTTTGTTCTCTTTTTTGTTGTTGACGAAGATTTCATTTTAACCATTTGAGCTACATTTCGATTTGGTCTTAGTATACACTTCATAATGCTTGCTCAATTAGTTTTATGGAGTTAAAGGGGAGAGAGCGAGCGAGAGAGAGGGAAATATTTAACCATGCTAACCAGAAACAGTAAACTTATTGAGCATTGAACACTTTTTGAGTCCTTGTGTTGTTGTTCTGTTTTCGTTTTTTTTTTACAACATTCAGTTATATTACCTTCAACATATTGACACACACGTACGCACACACATGCATAGCAACCAGAAATAAACAAATAATCGATTTAATATTTTATTGTACCGTTTAAAAAAAACAAGAGAACAAAAACCGAGACATTTTTATTTTTACAGAGTATGTTTTTTGTGTTTTCTTTAATAATAAAGATGAAATCTGTTATTTGTTTATGGTTACATAACAGGAAATGATAATCATTCATTATGTAATTCATGTGTGTAAAATTATTTGCTCCATATTTTTTTATTAAAAGAAATAAAATATTATCAGAAGAGGGTTTGAAGTGGAGATTTTAGTAATTTAATAGTTGAATTCATTGGTCAATTAAAACTAAGCTACCATGGAAAACATGAAAGCACTGAACAGTTGTCTTGTCCCAGTATGGGACTCCTCAGTGGCTATGGGTATCCACGATCCCAGCTCGCGAGATTTGAACACAGGACCCATTCGTTAGATGTCGACTCAACGGTCTACAGGTTATGCGTTTGCGCGCGAAACCGATTGGTCCTAGGGTCGAGTCCAGTGTGTAGGATCGTGGATTTACACTGCTGAGGAGTCCCATAGTAGGACAAAACGGCCGTCCAATGATTCCAGGTTTTCCATGGTAATCTAGCTTTAAATGACTTATGAATTCAACGATTAAATAAATAAAATATTGTTTGTTCAAAAATACTTAATATTTAAAAGATTTGTTTCTATATATAAATAAGTTTTTTCAAATATCTTAAAATAATTAGGTAATTAATTGATACAATGTTATGTCTCCTGTTTGAACACTTGCTATTGACCTTCTAGCTGATTTCTGTTGAGGACGTTAGATCCCCAGAACTCACTTGGAAAAGGACCTAATTTTGTAATTTTATTCTGAAAATTTGAATCTCTTTGTTTTCGCGCCAAAGGCGCTCTTCTCACCTTCATGTCGTATTTCCCACTGGGAATTATCTAAAATGCTATTAGTCCGTTGAGTCTTTTGGTATGTTATTTGGTAACTCTCTCCAAGGACGGTTTTGCACTGTATATATACGTTATGAATAGTGTTTGTTGTTATCGCTCGTCTCTGGCTGTTTGTAAAATATACTTTCCCATTTCAAGCTTGGACTTCTCCCTTTAGTTAGCGGTACTGGGACGCATCAATAGCTAGCTTATTGGTCATTGGTCACCAAGTCTTGTTCTCGTTCACAGATTAAGTGAACTCATGATAGCTTCAAACCTAGTATTTCTATATTTCTAGATTACTCGAAATTTTGAGCTCGAACAATAGAGAAAAGTTTTAAAGTAAGAATAGAAACTTTAATTCAAGGTTGATTTGTGTACAGAAATCATGTTTGTTTGTAGATTGACAAATGGTTATTTTTACAAGGAGGAAGCTTCTGGAGATATACCATATTTAGTAACTAATTAAGTAATTGTCCAATTAAACTATGACTCAAAATCTTTCATTTTTCTATTTGGTATTAACTAGATGAAGTATTTTCAGCTTTTTCTGATTGTCTGGCAACTTTCTAGAGAAATACTTGATGACTTTCAGAATAGTATTTGGTAAATATGTGTAACAACACAAGCTGTCAAGTTCATATTAGTCAAGTAGTAGAAAATTATCAAGCTAAATATTGAACCCTTGAAATAACTGTATCGATTTTAGTAAAAGAACGAAATAACTAAAACTCTAGCATCAGTAGAAATGTTAACTATGACAAAATCCCAGTACAATTTCATCTCAACACCTCATGATTCTCTGCCTTTGATTCTTATTCTCTCCAACTAATCCGCCCAACATTGTACAACTTTAAATGGTTAGGTATTTTGAATACACCTTCCTCAAATGGATTGTCATGACAAGTAGTTATAATCATTGTATCAAAATCAGTTAGATTATTACGAAACAAGAATGATCTGTCCCAATTATCATACAAACATGTATATCATTCAATAACATATTGATTTCCTAACTCCATAAAATTGATTGAGCAATTATCATGAAGTGTGTACTAAGACTAAATCGAGACGCAGCTCATAACAATCATACAGTTTTGTAATGTTTCGTCATGATGTACCAGAAATAGTTACTTCACAACTAGTAATAAATAAGAATTTCAAGTTCTCACAAAAAATTATAAGTAATTGGATTTCCACCAGATAAATCACAACATAGTTCAGTATTTAAAACACCTACAAAGGTATACGTCATTTAGTGTGAGAAACGAATAGAGCTTGGTTGATTCTTGATACCCAAAGCAGACTTAAACTGATAATTAGAAGTTTTTGTTACATTGGTAACTAATCAGGCTTTGAGTAACTTGTAGCTGAGTAGCACTCACCATTCATTGATCAATAAACAATGGGTTCGAATCCCGCAAGGTGGGACCAAGGATGTGCACTACCACTGAGAAGTCTCATACCAAGACGAAACGGCCGTTCAGTGCTTCCAGGTTTTCTATGATGGTCTGGCTTCAATTGACTCATGAACTCAACTATTAAAATACTACAATATCCACAAGAACCCCTTTCTGACAATAAATAATCGTTTGAAGGTAATTTACCAAAGGGATCATAAACATGATACATGAATAAAACATATAAGCTTCTATGCGTATTCGAACAATACGAACTCAAGTTTGATAGTTATGAACAGCTTTTATTATTTAAAAAAAAACACAGTAGTTATTGACTAGCAAACAACTGGTTATATTTGTTAGAAATAATTGTACATAAGTCTCTCACATTTGCACATGTCCAAAAGCATATACATACCTATTATTCACCCATTCGATATTTCCAATCGTTATACATTTTATTCGATTAGTGACTATTGTTTACTTTGATTTCTGTATGTTGGTTACTGATTCTGTCAACTCCTCTTGCTCTTTTACCTTGGAGTCTTCTTTCTTTTCAAGGTCTCCGGTAGATTCCGATTCTTCTAAGGTCGATTTCTTTTTAGTTATATATGGCTAAAGTTAATATTAATTAAATATTGTTTAAGGTTTGATTATATGAAGATGACTTAATAAAATTGTGGAGTTGTTTCATTAAATTAAAGAAACATTTAAAATTCCCGTCATCGGTAATCTAATTTAAGCGACGGAGTGTGTGTGTGTGTGTAAATGAGTATCTCCTCCTCAATGTTTTTAGATAAATTATCAAACTGCTGTTGAATTTCTAAGCCTATCAAACAGTCGATTAGTTATTTGTATAGAGAGTTATTGAAATATTCAGTTTGCATCACTGGTGACCTTCATTAGATAACTACTGAAAACTGTTAAACACTATTTAGCTGTTCCTTCTCAGTATGGAAATCCAAAACGGTACTCATCCATGAACACATCTGTGATCGGATCCAAAACCTTCCATGTCTCATGGTGAGTGCAACCTATAGTCAACAAGTGATGCTAACTAAAAGTTCTAATAAACCTCTGTTCTCATAATAAATATGTGTTCTGTGGTGGGTAAATTAGAATGGTAAACCCTGGAATTCTAATGGGAAGATATAACCAACGTAGTTCTCCTTTTATGAAAACAAGGCCGTTGCCCACCAAATATATTAGAACATAGCTTCACAACATCACGAATTGAATGAAGTTAGAAATGTAGGCTATTAGGTCGCAACTCAGTTGTTCAAATGCTTAGCTCTGGCCAGAAGAACTGAAAGATCCTAGGTCTGATCCTAGCTGATATGGTGGACATATACTTTGGAACACTCTCCGTCTAGGATGAGATAACTGATCAGTGCTTCATGGTTTTCAATAGTCATTCGTCTTAGATCCTTCCGTGATGTACATCGATTTGTTGATAGTCAACGTCATTGAAACTGGCAGTGATAAGAGTAACTAAAACCACTTTTGTAACTAAAAGAACTTCCTCTAACCACTTAAGTCTTTTCAGATTCATAGATATATCAGTCAGTTTAGTATCTCTACAAAGTATTCTATGGGTTATCTAAAAAATACTCGAGAAGTAATTGTGATCACATCCTTAATATTGGCAGACAATACTGTACAGTTAAAATGTTATTTAATTAGAATTTCATTCGCTATGTTGTAGGCAGACGAATAAGTTTCTGCATCGTAGGTGCTGCAGTTTCATAAACACAAAGTAAGTTCCCTGTATTAATGTACAGGCTTCATCAGCTACCAACCCACAAGAGTTGATGAACCATTAAAGATAAATAAAGTAATCAATGTATATAACTAATTCAGTTTCTTTTGGTTGACGTAGACAACATTTTGTATTTGAGATCGGTTCGCAAAAACTAATTTCAAGCATTCTTTCACTCAATTTGTTGAAAAGGGTCTAAATCTTATCAGAGTTGTGACTCAACAGACCTAAGCTATTTTACTACTTCAAGTCAATAAAAAATTGTTTAGGTAAGACACACATCCCTGTTAGTTAAATGAAAAAAAAGACTTTTCTTTGACATAATAACTAAAAATGAGGTAACTCAACAATTCTGACAGATTCGGTTTGACATAGCTCCTTCAGATAACATTTTGCGGTAATTTATCTTTCAATCAATAGAAAGCTTTGTCATGCCCAACGTTTCCAACTATTAACTACAATTAATAAGTAAGCTTTGACAAGTAGGTTGACATTCATCTACTGAACTCAAACCAACAACTAATAACTTTGTTAACTGATACTATTTCAAGGTTTGATAGGATTATTCAGCCTAGATGTGGACATAGATAAGTCTTCAAGCAACATTTCGAATTTAGTATGAGAGTGATATGATATTATAGATGATATCAGCTCTTACTTGACTACTTGTACTCTAGTATAAGGCCTTTAAATAGTTTATACACATTTTGCGACACCTTTCAGTGACCAGCATTGTCGTAAAACATGTCAACCAAATCGATCGAATGTCAACTTCAATTCAACAGATATCGCTATTTTCGGAAGTAGATAGGTACGTACATGTTTACGAACCTGATGAAGTGTGACTATCAGATATCGTTATATCTACATCTAGCACTGAAACCAACTTAAAGACTAATCAAAATGATATTGGATTATTTAAATTTAACTAATAATAGTAGTTATAATGGTACTAACTTTTAAAATCACAAATGAACAGACTGAATCTTCATTAATTTGCATAACTGCACCAGCATTATCAAATTCACCACAATAATTTGCTGCACTGAATACGGTTACAACCTCAAAAAAGAAACAAAACAGACAGTCATTAAAACAAAAGATTATGGAAGGTATAGTAAAAGTATGATATATGAATATGCCATGAGACTATAACTTATGGATGACCTTTGATAGATGCTAAAGCGACCTTGGGAGTGTCTACCTACTTACTAGGGCTAAATGAGGGTTATAAAGAAGTTTGAAGAATAGGGATTATAATTCACAGTTGATGGTTAGGGTTAGGAATTAGATTTAGGGTTTTCATCACGAATTAACATCAGTTATAATGTTAAGACTAGCCAAATGGATAATTGAATTTCGAGCCAAAATCTAAGACTTGTTATCGTAAATCTGATTGGTTCGTCCATAAATTGTAGTCTCAACGAACGAGCCAATCAGAATCAAGAGCATGACCAAGGTCTTTGCGTGTATAACAGACAATAGGAATACTTCTGTATACTGATCAGAATATCTAAAGTAATCGAGAAAAATTATTTCTTTACAATCATGAGGTAAAAATGATATTGATAAACGGATCAAATGATTAATTCTGTCTATTACGATGGGATATAACATGCAAATCGATACTATCGCTAAATCTTGACCATAAACCTTTTATTCTGAACTGGTGTTACTCACATTTTGTTGATGAACTGATCAGATAGCACCACACATACTTTTTTTAATAATTTCTTTAATCCAAACGGTTACAGAGCATTTTGACAATATAGCTGATGTCATTCATTGATGAAACCTCTAATTCCAACTCCATATATCTAACCCTAACCTACAAACAATTTGAGGACTCTTCAAAGTCTATTTGAATTCTTTTAAAGATTCCAGAATGGATAATCTGTACACATAAGGATGAGTTTATTTATCACGGTCTTTTGAATTTACTGACAGAGTAACATGTAGAAGAAGGAAATTTGACAATCGATAAAATGGAATAAACATTGGTTGTAACTGGTGACCTGGATTTTCATCTATGTCTAATCATTTGTTTTCTAACAATTCTTTTAAGTTGACCAATCTCTGGCACTCATTAGTTACTTCCTGTAGTGTTATATACGGTCATTGTCCAATTTTACTCAAAATTCTGGTTCTAATATCAGCATCTTCGGGAGATTGGAGGCTGCACACAAACATAAGACAATTAAACTGCTCTTCTGTTATTGCTGACAATTTTAAGGGCTCACATTCACGGTTTACTAAACCCGCATGCGTCACCGAGTCACCATCACCTGCTTTCCTTATCTTGAGATACTGATAACGAATATTAAACAAGGATAACTGTACAGCAAAGATTTGCGACAAAATATCAATCGTTGCATCAAAATAAAAATCTCTTTGATTCTTTGGAAGGATAAAGTTACTGTAACGTTCATGTACAACCGTTCCAAGTTTTCGTAAGAGTAGCGGAGTTCTCAGGTTTTTTGAGGTCGACCTTGAACAAACCTTCGTATTTCTTGAACCAGATTTCAAAAGTAATGCCAGCCGAACCATCAAAGTTAAATTTATGGATAGAACTAACAATGTGGTCAACATGAGATTTGAAAGGGTCATCCGTAACCCTTTCTTGATTCAGGTTCATTTGCTGAGTTAGTGTCTCTATAATACGAATCTGGAACTGTTTCAAACGTTCTTCTTGACGCTCCAGCACGGCTTCAAATTGTTCAAAGGTAAATGACATCTTGATAAGATTACCCCGATAAGTACAATCATCAGGAGCTTTTGTCGTAGAATGATGAGCTCCATTTAATTCAGCTATTGTCATTATGATGCTTGATTCATTTTCTGTTTCTTCGTGGGCGGGTATAGCAATAATTTATTGAGTATTCAATAAGACGTCGTCTTTCTGTGAGCTGGACAAGTCAGCGTTTGTTCACTGTGTTTCGCGGACAATAGGAGTTGAACCCGCTACAGTGCATGTCTCTGAAATGGACATTCCTGGACCACAGGGAGCATCATGTTTGACTGCGACTACTTTGTTTACATTACCGCTTATCAATGATTAACAGAGGCTTTCATCGACACTTTTATACGTTCTGCAGTCATTTTCCAGCTCTGTATGCGAATTAGAAATTAATTTATCAACTGTCACATCTTCAAATCATGGATGATTTAGCAGCCGTGTGCGTAAATTGTCTAAAACATCCAACTGGCTCTTTATGAAACGCTGCTGTTGTCGCTCAAATAGCAATTGTAATTGATCGGAAGAGATAGCCATTATCTGGATGAGCACGGTAATGAAAAACACTGTATGACTAATTAACAATCAATGTCGTTGAAGGACACCGGCGAGAATTTTGTATGCTGATTGCTTGAAATACTTACACTGAATTTTTTCCAATTACAGACTGACCTTGACTCGTTAATTTAAAGATTGAGGGTTCAGAATGTTTTTTCACCCCGTCATGTCTTGGGGTTAATAAATCTTCACTTATACCAGTCTTGTGTTCTTACTTCCGCGTCGTGGGAATTAAAGAAGCCCCTCGTTTCGAATATAAATGATAGGCGTTTCAGACACAACGATCAGCGGCGACCAAATATAACAAGTAGCATTCAATTGAAAAATTATAACAAATTCATAGGACATTGGTTCTGAAGTCCAATCAGTTGGGATGTAAGTTTTGACACCTCTTGATAATTTCAACAGTTTGCATTTAACACAATACAGATTCAAACAAGCCACTTCGTGAATATTCCATTTATTATTTTGTTATAATGTAGCGGACGCTATTCACAAAATTGTATGTACGTAAATGATTAAAGAATGTGGTCTTGAAGTTGTCATAGTCTTCAAATAGTGTGAAGAGTTTCAGTACATTGAAAGCATAATATAGGCAGAACAGTTGATGACCAGAAGAGAAGACAGCTTAGATTATAGAACACACCGTGAGATACAAATGGATGATCGAAGGCTGTGTATGTGTGATGTAAACCCTTTGTAACATTGATGGAGTTTTGTTCTCTGAGCTGGATGGTTTAGTCACAGAGCTTTCATCGTTCTTCTGAACGACATCATCAGCACAAACCTCTAATTGTAATGACAATTAAAGAGATTGACTGATTAAATGAATTTTGGAGATGATATCGTTTTTATGAATAAGTAATGACTCTTAAGTAGTTGAAAATCGTCGAAAATAAAGCCTTCTTTCCTTTGAGCATTATGTCAGCTGTCACTCATCAGTAGGACATATCATCAGCAAATTCGGTCGAATTCATGCTCCCTGATAGATTTGAATTCATATCATACCCAATTTCACAAACTAATGAAGAGCAATACCTGAGGGACGTATTTCAAAATAACGGCTAACCAATCAACTTCATTAAAAAACACCAACCGCACGCAGCATCAGAACTCAAGTTAAGCACAGAAATCAACAAAAGGATCGCCCTCACATACATAAAAGGCATATCAGAAACCGCAACGAGACTGCTGAAAACCTTCGGGATAGGTGTGGCACACAAACTGACAAAATCACTACAATCAATCCTATGCAAACCAAAGGCTGAAACAACAAAGGAAGACAAATCAAACATCATCTACAAAATAAATTGTGCCAACTGCGAAAAACACTACATCGGACAAAGCGGACGCCTCCTTCACCTCCGCCTACATGAACATCAATTAGCAGTTAAACGCCATGATATCTCCTCACTTATATCAATGTACGTGGACAACTGCGGACAATCATTCGATTGGGAAAATGTAGAAATCTTAGACAGAGGAAACTCCAAAAACACCAGAGAATGTTTAGAAACCTGGCACACAGGTCAATCAGCAATCAACAAGCATATTGAAATCAATCCAATTTATCAACCAATCAGGGAAATTATGCACAAATATAGGAACAAAAGTCAAACCAATGGGAGACACAACCAAACCAAAGAAGTAAACTTAAAACAATTAGTCCCTTTGATTTTCTGAAAAGAAGACTCCCTACGCAAATTATTAAAAGGTTAGATGAACTTGTTAACCTCAAGTGCAAAATTATATCAGAACGAGTGAAATTGGATTTTTATAAATCTTGCTTATCTAATCACATTTTCCCGATTCAGTTATATAAGAATCTTCGTTCAAGTAAATTACAACCAAATATTCCAAATCTTATTAGACTGACGAAATCATATATAGACAAATGCCATGATAAGTTGATCAATTTAATTGAACTTCATACTCAAGCATTACCTGTATTAACAGAATTGTCTATAGTTTGCCATATCAAATTCATCAATTTTTGTAGTACTGTCATTTTGAAAACAAAAGAAGGGATAAGGAAAAAGCTAGAAAAATCTTGCTGCAATAATAATAATCTCACTTCCTTCCCAATCAATCCTGATAAATATGTCACTAATTTGTCCTCCATTGTATTGTCTGTTCATGAAAAGGAGGCATTGTCCTTGGGTTTAAAATTTTCTGTTCCTATAACACAAATCTCTGAATTGACAGTCAATGCCCAATTTGAAAACCTCTATGATCAATTGAGTACTTTAACCCCTTCGTCCTTAGAGAATCAAAGTTGGTTTAAAGCCAAACTAGTGGATATAGCGCATCATTTTCATTCTTCTGGACCAAAGCAGAGAAGCATATTAACTTCTCAGCATTTCAAATCATTAAAAGAATTGCGAAATAATGCCGATATTATTATACTTAAACCCGATAAAGGATCTGGTGTTGTTATTATGAATAAGTCAGATTACAAAAATAAAATGGAATCCATTCTCAGTGATAAAAGCAAATTTTTGGCTGATGTTGACTTTGATGGATTACGTAAATTAGAAAAGAAAGTGAACTCGAATCTTGTAAAATTGTTAAACATGAATGCTATTAACAAAGATGAGTTTAATTTATTAAAACCTATGGGTTCGGCATATCCTAATTTATATGGATTACCGAAAATTCATAAGCCTAATACCCCCCTACGTCCAATTCTATCTATGTGTCGGTCACCTACACACAACCTGGCAAAATGACTTACAAAATTATTAAACCCTATCAGAAATCAATATTGTAAGTATTCATTGACTGATTCATTTGAATTAATTAATTACTTAAAGGATATAAATATAAAGACAAAGACAATGTGCTCCTTTGATGTAAACACTTTATTTACAAATGTACCTCTTAGGAAAACCATTGATATTTTGTGTGACTTTATTTCTTCGGAAAACCTTCCACTGCTTTTCCTGTTAAAACTCTTAAAGATTTATTATTATTATGTACAGATAATGTAAAATTCACATTTGAAGGTGAACACTTCAGACAAATAGATGGTGTAGCTATGGGCAGCCCTCTAGGACCATTGCTAGCTGATGTGTTCATGGGATATGTGCAAAAATTTAGTTGGAGACTCAATTCGAAAGATGGGTCTGTATAAACGATATGTAGACGACATAATAATCATAGGTGATAAAATTGAAGACATAAGCCACTTGTTAGAAGAATTCAATAGTAGTCAAAACCACATTTCTCTTACATGTGAAGAAGAGAAGAACAACCAACTTCCTTTTCTTGACATCCTGATTACTAGGAGAGATGACGGTTCCATCAAACGTGCTATATACAGAAAACCAACATGGACAGGACAATATCTTAATTTTCATAGTCACTGCCCTATTCATTATAAACGTGGTTTAATAAAGAGCTTATTCAATAGAATCAATCGTATTTGTACTAGTGATACTATTGAAGTAGAGATGAAGCTCTTGACTGATGGGTTATTCAATAATGGTTACCCTTTGAAGTTCATAAACCGCTGGAAGGGTTGCAATATGACTAGACCTATGACGCTTCTGGCACCCAAAAAGCGAGTTTATATTACGCTACCATTCAGAGGTGACACAAATAGTCTCATGTTGAAACAGAGACTTAAATTAGCTATCAACCGGACATTTTATGCAGCCCAACTTGTCATTATCGAAAAGACAAGGTCTATGTTTCACCAAAAGCCCAAACAGCATGAAAACGATTGTGTCACATCCCATTGTGTCTATAAATTTACATGTATGTGTGGAAACACGTACGTAGGGAGGAGCAATCGTGATTTCCAATTAAGGGTGGGTGAACATATACCAAAATGATTGCAGAATCAGATGAATTCCAATGGTGAAATAAGATCACAGGATAGACAGACATCATCCTCCATTGCGAAACATTTGACTGAGACGGGTCATAAGGTTGATATCAAATCAGCATTTGTTGTGCTGTACAAAAGCCTTCAAGGACGTATACTAAGGTTTATTAAAGCCTTGGCTATACGAAAATTGAAACCCCCTTTATGTGTTCAAAAACAATTTGTACTTACACTTAACCTACCCTGGTAGTACTGATTTACTGTCCAGAGTGGTAATCACATTTGTTTTTGTGTACTTTAATATTTTTCCTTTGTTATGACTTACCCTTAACCTGTCTAGTCGACCTTTTAATTTTTCATATATAAATGTTCTTAACAAGTATATGTGTGATCAGATTGTTCGAAATGTATTGCGCAAATATATCACATAATTCTGATAAACTACGTCTTGTCATTGCATTATCGAAAGAAGTAAACAATGACAAATTTAAGGTCAATAAGAACCAATCAACATCGAGGTGTACAGAACAAGCTGTGAAATGCATATGGAGAAATTCGAACACTTCACTTCTATCTGAAGTTTGTGCTGATGATGTCGTTCAGAAGAACGATGAAAGCTCCACGACCAAACCATTCAGCTCAGAGAACAAAACTTCATCAAAATGTTACTACTAAGCCATTTCCAAACCTTTCCTAATCTAAATACAAATACAAATGTAAGTAAAAATATATTTTTTCCCCTTTATTTTATTCGAAATTTACCTTTTTATCAGCAAAAAATTCATAACCATCTTCAACAACTTGATGTGCTCTAACCACTAACTTAACGTTACAATCATTCATGAAACGAATTAAAGCATCTTCACCGAATGTATAGGAAACACCACGTTCATTTTCTTTCCAACCAGCATATGACTAAATAATATGAAGAAAATGATTTTCTTTCTAATCTATTTATAAGTGTAATCTTATTGAAATAACTTTAAAAACCACATTATATATATATATAATACTCACTTTATTCACTACCATATATATTCATCTGTAAATCAAAATGGGGATCTGTGGAGATTGCAGTAATTTATATAGTTGAATTTAGGAGTCGATGTAAGTTAAACCACCATTGATAACCTGGAAGTACTGCATGGCTGTTTCGTCCTGGTATAGGATTACTCATCAGTGCGCACCCACGGCCTCACACATGTGACTTGAACCCGGGATCTCCGGTCTTGTGCACGAACTCTAAACCTCTAGACCATTGAGCCGACCGGCATCCGGCGGCGTTAATGTCTAACCTCCATAGATCCATGAATGGCTGCTAATCCATTCATCCACTGTCTGAGGTAGATACCTGTCTTACCTTACGTGGATTGGACTGCACTAGTGACGTCTTCTCACTATAACTCCAGGAAATCTATCTTGAAGCTAATCACTAGTGAGCACATGATTATTATCAGAATAGGGATTTATTTTACCCCCCCCCATAAGTTGTAAATATTTGATGACAGCCATAACTGATTAATTTATACAAATCTAAAATAGGAATGTTCATTGAGATAATTGTACACATTTTTTGAAGAAAACTAAGGTAGTCTAAAAGTTTAAGCTGACCATTTATAAAAGGAAGTAGTTTTCATATGTTACACTGATAACCACTGAGGACTAAATAGCTGTATCGTCATTGATCGGTATCGTTCAGAGTAAGCATTCATGAATAACACTTTGAATCTAACTAATGATATTTCGATTGAAGCCATGAACTGATTGATGTTAGACAACCATTGAAAACCTGGAAGCACTGGACTGCCGTTTCGTCTCATTCTGGGACTCTTCAGCAGTGTGCATCCACAATCCCGCTCGCGGGATTCGAACCCAGGCCCTTCTGTCACGCGCGCGAACGTTTAACCTACTGGATCACTGAGTCAGCATCCAATCTTTTAAATGAACCTAGTTTTAATAGATTCCATAAAGTGTAGGCTTTCGTTTGTATATTATTAATTAGCTTCTCTCTCTCTCTGATTTCCAATGCTTTTTCAGGTAATTTCAGTTCACAGTTAAAACCATCACTGTCACGATCTCCAGTGATTGATCACAAAGGTGTAACTAATGTCCTATTTGTCTAGTCCCCTTAGTGCTAATCACATTTTATCGATCGATTAGCAGTATAAACACTAGGATATATCACAATAGTAAGTTCAGCGTTTAAGACATGAAACAGGGAGATATGAATTCGAATTCTCGTACTGATGATGATTAACCAACAAAAAATCAGGGTCTAGGTGCTCCTGTCAACTATCTTCTATTAAGTAATATTATCACTACTGTATATGGACACACTATAATTCTAAACTTACTCCATCAGGATCTGACCATAATAAATCACAAATAATACCCATATCTGGTACTTCAGTTGGGCGTCGTATTTCATTCAACTTGAAAGGAAGCGAAGTGATTTAAACAAATAAAATATCAAAGAATTCAAAGGTAAATAAACAGAAATTCTGTTAAAAAAGTAAAATAAAACTAAAAAAGAAAGTAAAACAAGACAAAATAAAAGAAGGAGAAGTCGACTGAGAATATCAGCAGAATCTAGGACTTGCGTTTCTTCCTATTAGGATTCATCAGTTGAATGCGCCTGAGTCCTTGTGATGATGTTCATCTCAAGACTTGAGAACAATACATTTCACACCCAGTACAACGTATTGTCCACAGAGCTATCAGCTTCATATAACCAGTGCCTTGTGAAGAATAAAAAAATATGAATTCACACTTTGGATTCCACTGCTAGTCATATTCCACTTATTCCATGAAGACGTATGACCTAATAGAATCCTCACTGGATGCATATATTCCCAACTAAGACTGATCAAAATCCTGATTATCAATACCGAGACAGCTGAAAAACTTTACAAATTAAAAGAGGAAAAATATTGTGTTTTACAGTTTACACCACGAACTGATCCTAGTTAAATAACCATGAGGACCGAAAAACACGTGACGGTAGTTTCTTCCTAGTATGATACTCTTCAGTAGTGTGAATTCATAACCTCTTTATGAAACGAACCAAGGACCACCAGGACTCTCGGTAAACACCTTACCTTTAAACTGATGAACTTAAATTAAACATGTAAATCAACGGATTCCAACTAAGTGGTCTAAAGATCAAGTATTTTCCACGTGTCTTAAACGTCATGAGTTATATTCGCAATGATGTCATCAATACTCACTTCTGAGTCCTTTACTAAAATTAGAATAGTTATCCGGTACTTCCTAATTCTTAGTAGTTGTCTAATTATGATCAATTCATGAATAAAGCCATAAAATTATATAACCTCCATAAACCTCTCTATTAATAAAGAACACTATGTTACAACTGACCTGTTCTAATTTCTTTAAATCTGGTGATAATCCTCCATGTGCACAAAACATACTATTGTCAACTAGTGCGGCTGTGTAGTAATAATATCAGAAAGAACAAAACAATATACATAACTGTAAAAAAAAGTCAGATCATAATTTTTGAGAAATCATATATTGACAACAAATGAATGACCATTGAGAAGCATATAGGGAACTGACCGGTTAGATATTAAGTTCTAATTTTAAATTTTCACGGAGCTGAAACTTAGAGAACAAATACAACTGTAGGTATTTATAAATATCTATCTATGCAAGATACCCAATGTTTGTTAGCTGGATACCATCAGCGACAACCTTCTGTGAAAGAGAAAATATCAGATTCCAAGCTGAAGAGGAAATTAAGCGAAGACTCCGAAGGCGGATAGAATACACATTGCAGAGATCATCAAATTAAATCACAGGACAAGCCTCAATTTAGGATATTGGAGGTAAACGGAAAAAGGTAATACCAAAAGAACACATTGTGTTGAAAATTTACAGCAGATATAAAAAGAATGACCAGCACTTGAGAACGATTGGAAAGGATTGCTCAGGACAGATATGGCTGGAGAATCCCGGTCAGCGGTATATACACCACGAGAGGTAACAGGCGCAAATAAGTGCGTCGATCCCATCCATAATGTCTCAAAGAACCCCAACAAAACCACTTATTCATTGCGGTTAGCATATCATCTGTAGATCAGTGAAATTGAGACGGTTTTTAAGTTTTTCAGTTTTTCAATAGATTTAAGATGGACTCCTGAAGTTTTAAATGAAAAGTCATCTTCGGTGGATGTGGAGCATGTTAAACTACAGAATAAAAATACTAACAATATTGGATGATGATGATGATGATGATGATGATGATGATGATGATGATGATGATGATGATGATGATGATGATGATGATGATGATGATGATGATGATGATGATGATGATGATGATGATGATGATGATGATGATGATGATGATGATGATGATGATGATGATGATGATGATGATGATGATGATGATGATGATGATGATGATGATGATGATGATGATGATGATGATGATGATGATGATGATGATGATGATGATGATGATGATGATGATGATGATGATGATGATGATGATGATGATGATGATGATGATGATGATGATGATGATGATGATGATGATGATGATGATGATGATGATGATGATGATGATGATGATGATGATGATGATGATGATGATGATGATGATGATGATGATGATGATGATGATGATGATGATGATGATGATGATGATGATGATGATGATGATGATGATGATGATGATGATGATGATGATGATGATGATGATGATGATGATGATGATGATGATGATGATGATGATGATGATGATGATGATGATGATGATGATGATGATGATGATGATGATGATGATGATGATGATGATGATGATGATGATGATGATGATGATGATGATGATGATGATGATGATGATGATGATGATGATGATGATGATGATGATGATGATGATGATGATGATGATGATGATGATGATGATGATGATGATGATGATGATGATGATGATGATGATGATGATGATGATGATGATGATGATGATGATGATGATGATGATGATGATGATGATGATGATGATGATGATGATGATGATGATGATGATGATGATGATGATGATGATGATGATGATGATGATGATGATGATGATGATGATGATGATGATGATGATGATGATGATGATGATGATGATGATGATGATGATGATGATGATGATGATGATGATGATGATGATGATGATGATGATGATGATGATGATGATGATGATGATGATGATGATGATGATGATGATGATGATGATGATGATGATGATGATGATGATGATGATGATGATGATGATGATGATGATGATGATGATGATGATGATGATGATGATGATGATGATGATGATGATGATGATGATGATGATGATGATGATGATGATGATGATGATGATGATGATGATGATGATGATGATGATGATGATGATGATGATGATGATGATGATGATGATGATGATGATGATGATGATGATGATGATGATGATGATGATGATGATGATGATGATGATGATGATGATGATGATGATGATGATGATGATGATGATGATGATGATGATGATGATGATGATGATGATGATGATGATGATGATGATGATGATGATGATGATGATGATGATGATGATGATGATGATGATGATGATGATGATGATGATGATGATGATGATGATGATGATGATGATGATGATGATGATGATGATGATGATGATGATGATGATGATGATGATGATGATGATGATGATGATGATGATGATGATGATGATGATGATGATGATGATGATGATGATGATGATGATGATGATGATGATGATGATGATGATGATGATGATGATGATGATGATGATGATGATGATGATGATGATGATGATGATGATGATGATGATGATGATGATGATGATGATGATGATGATGATGATGATGATGATGATGATGATGATGATGATGATGATGATGATGATGATGATGATGATGATGATGATGATGATGATGATGATGATGATGATGATGATGATGATGATGATGATGATGATGATGATGATGATGATGATGATGATGATGATGATGATGATGATGATGATGATGATGATGATGATGATGATGATGATGATGATGATGATGATGATGATGATGATGATGATGATGATGATGATGATGATGATGATGATGATGATGATGATGATGATGATGATGATGATGATGATGATGATGATGATGATGATGATGATGATGATGATGATGATGATGATGATGATGATGATGATGATGATGATGATGATGATGATGATGATGATGATGATGATGATGATGATGATGATGATGATGATGATGATGATGATGATGATGATGATGATGATGATGATGATGATGATGATGATGATGATGATGATGATGATGATGATGATGATGATGATGATGATGATGATGATGATGATGATGATGATGATGATGATGATGATGATGATGATGATGATGATGATGATGATGATGATGATGATGATGATGATGATGATGATGATGATGATGATGATGATGATGATGATGATGATGATGATGATGATGATGATGATGATGATGATGATGATGATGAATAACAGCGGCCCAAATTTCAACGCAGCAATACACATCTATTATATAGATGGTTATGCGTTCCACATCCACTGTGAAGATCATATGTGGAAAATGTTAAATAATCTTAAAATAAGACAAAAATACTACGGCGTTTTTCTTTACTTTTCACTAATACTCTAAATAGTACCATAAAATTTAAATTATACAATCGCGCCAGTACAGTTTATCTTAACAATATTCAAAACAAATGCATTTCATGCATTGAAATATATTCACATTAGAACATACCTAAAGGAAGACAATTAAAACAATCAGTGAAAACTTTCCATAATTTTGTTGAATAACGACGTTTGCATTCGTCATAGAAACCGTAGATACTAATGAGATGAATGATAAAAGATCAATTGAAGAAAATATATTTTAGGAAAAAACAAATATCTTCATTATCAAAAGGGGTTTTATGGATATAATAGTAATTTCAAGGGTTAAGATCATGAATCAATTGAAGTTAGACCACCATGAAAAACTTGGAAGCACTGGAAGACCGTTTCGTTCTATTGTGGGGCTCCTCAGTAGTCCACATCCACAATAGGACGAAACGGCCGTCCAGTGCTCTAAGGTTTTAAATGGTGGTCTAGCTTCAATTGACTCATGATCTCAACCCTTGAATTGTTTTTATGACTAGAGCAAATGAAGATTCAATTCAATTAATTTGATAAACAGATTCTAGTTAAGAAAACCATTAACATTGAATAGTACTGCAATAAAGGAGAACATAGACTAGGATAACTAACGTGAGTTAGAAAACAACTACAGAATCTCTTGGTAACATCTGAGAACCATACAGTAAATACTTCATTTGCGAAATATCTATCGGTTGTTTACGACTTCATTGTTCTTTCCTTTCATCTCATCAATCACTCTCTGTTCTCGTTCTCTTCTGTTCAATCTTCTCAATAATTTACTGCCAGGCATTTCACCTTCAATTTGTGATACATACTACTTATACCTGTTGACATCAGTAGCACACAACACAGTACTATTAGTATTAATAGTACAATACGTTATCAACTCAGAATGTCACACCTTTTCTGAAATAAACTATGAATGTGAGAGTGATGTAGTACTGCATAGTACTTTAGGAGATTAATCCTTTTGGAGATCTGACTTGATATTTCCGATTTGATTCAATAATGGATTGGGACATCAGATCTCGCTGGTTTATTTGATGCTTGTTGGTATCCTGTTGTTAGAAGTACTCTTTATATCGATTATAAACCTTGTCTAGACAAGTGTTTTAAGTAAGTTTCTGAAAGATTCTATTAGTAAATCATGGGATATATCTAAATCAATATTTTTTCAATATTGTATACTAAAGTGTTCTTACGTTATTGCTATACTATCGTCAGGTAGAAGTTTAAGGACTTCAATTTGAGGCAGATGTTTTGTATGACAGTTAAGGATACCACGCTTCTGCGTAATCCAACGTAATTGAGGTGAGGTTCAAACCAATGACTTTGCGTAGAATTTACATACTTTAATCACTCTATATATAACTAGAACACATTTCGAATGTAATCCGGTGATGAATCAACAGATACATTACTAGGGAATCATCAATCTACTTGTTATTATTAAGTAGTATAGCATGAAAAACAAAAGTTAGTGATCAATAATTGTATTCCTATCTAGTAAATATCATTTATTAACCTTTCAAATGTCTTTCATTCGAATAGTTAGAAATATCTATATTTTGGACCAAATCGAAGAGTTTTCATGGTCTTTATAACATTCAGAGTAAACTTTCTTGTTTTCAGCAGATTATATTACAAGTTATATGATAACAAATTTATAAACTCATTCGGTATTGTTTGCTTGAATCTTTCCATCATTATTTAGGACTGCAGTTGATCAGTCTCTTATTGGCGTATGTCTATCCTGTGCCCTAATATTGCCTTAAGTCTCAAGCATTATAAGCGAAGATGGATAGTGGCTATCCGTGGAATCCATGACGCACGTTTCGTCCTATTCGAGACTCGTGAGCAAGATGAATGGTATTGTGTTCGAGTTCCGGAGTGTACATCAATTCTGGGATGTAGGTACAAGGTGCACATATACCAGTAAGAGAATGATCAATAACAGTCCTAAACATCAATAGGAAGATTAAAAAAACAATCAAAAACATAGATTTAAACTTCAATCCATCGCAAAACCTAGTTGTTAACCTACTAACTAATATCGACAGTAACTTTTCAAGTAAGCTCGTAAATTAATTTATAGTATTTTGATAAACTTACCGATTTATACGACTACATTCATGATTTCCTCGTAAAACAGCTAATTTATCAGGATATTTTAATTTATAAGCCAAAATAAGCGAAATTGTTTCCAACGATTGTCTACCACTGAATAAATGAAATTCAATTGAAACAAACGAAGATACATTATAATATGAAATGGATTGATTTAAACAAAACATTTAAATAACCAGGGTTTTTTTTTCAACAAGGAAAGAAGGATTTAACATTGATTAATTGTTAGGTTATTATGAAGAACACCGTCTGTATTCACCACAGACTTGTAATACTACGTATAAAACTGAAACACAAGGATCTTTGAACCACTGACCTAACATGGGATCACACTTGGGATATTTTTAGTTACTCAGATAGCATATTTTCATTGTACCTTTGAATGAATGTTCACTGGTCTGCATTTTTAACTGTTCCAATATTTGACATTACTTAATCCATTTATCAGCATATGGTTTTGTGGAGATTATAGAGCTGTCATAGATTTCAAGTTAACACCATTGAGTCCATGTTCATTGTTCTAGAATTTAATGATTTGTGCTCGAGACCGAAGGTGCTGGATTAGATTCTGTTTCACGTAGCCTTGGATTCACATTACAGAAAAGTCACATATTAGGATGAAACAGCCATTCAATGATTTCAGGTTATCAGTGGTAGTATAACTAAGCTTAATTTATGACTTAATATCTACATCAATCAATCTACTTAGCTGAGAATCAAGAGATAATCTTAGCTTATCACTATAATAAACTATATATCGAGATAATCCTCATAAATGTAACATGGGAAGAGCTTTTTCTTTCGAATGACCTGTTTTAATATAAGATGGTAAGTTTACTTACGATGATATACAATAAATGACACTATGATTTCATCAAATATATAAAACTGTACTTATAATAATGTCGTCACTGGATTGCAAATTCAGCCTATTTGCAGTTAATGATAAAACTTGAAACTAAATCAACTGATTTTATTAACAAAGTAATAAATCAAAGAACTGTCTCTTTCAAGTTACCTTTTCAACATTGCTCTACACACTACTGAGTAGTAGTGACCTAAGTCATGTTTAGCTAGTCTTTTAGTTATGATCAAATTCTATCAATCAAATTGCAGTTTGGCCATCAGTCTAAGTAACATCGCATGTTTTATGTTTTCATGTTAAATGGTTTGAAATAATCACCTAGGGGCCTTGAACCTGAGTTTCAGACACACTATGTGAACAAATGCCAACTAAAATGAAATCTAGGTGAATTGATTTTTTAGAAGGAATTTTGTGGAGATTGTAATAATTTCAATAGTTGAGATCATGAGTCAATAGAAACTAGACCACCATGGAAAACCTGGAAGCACTGGACGGCCGTTTCGTCCTATTATGGGATTCCTCAGCAGTGCGCGTCCACGACCTCCTCGAGGGATTCGAACCCAGGACTGATAAGTCCTAGTGACGGTGTCCAAGAGGTATTTCCTGTAGTTCTAGTGAGAGGCAGTGACCAGAGGAGTTCAGTCGTGTCTGTTTTTAGATAGTAACTCACTGATGACAATGGTGGATGTGTCACTCAATTTCGTGAATTAGTTGAAGTTAGACATTAACACCATTGGATATCCCACAATAGGACGAAACGGGCGTTCAGTGCTTCGAGGTTTTCCATGGTGGTCTAGCTTCAATTGACTCATGAACTCAACTATTGGAATTAATTTTTGCTGATTCTCTCCAACTGCCTAACAGTAATATCAATCAAGTGGTAATGTAACATAATAATATTACTGTCAGGCAGAAGTGCAAGTATAACTCAATAATTTAGTTATATTTGTCAGTAAGAATTTTAAGAAATTCAAGTGAAAGAGAGAATAAAAACTCTAATTTTAACCCTATCTGGTATCGACTGCATAGATGGCTAGGCTAGGGTTTTAGGGTTGAACAAATTCCATCTAAATACAAGGTTTTGGTCTAAAGATATGAATTTTTATAGCTTTGTTGATGTGTAAAAGATACCGTCACTCAGTTGCAACGTAGAACCTGGTACGTAGTTACATCCGTTCGAACTGACATAACCCATTAGCACGGCGAGATGAAATGGTCAGGTCGAATCCTAAAGTAGTAGAGATAGCAACAGTATCAATGGTAATAGAAAAGATTGGTCATTAAAGGTACGATTCAGAAGAGTATAAATCAGTGAGATAAAACATCATTTCGGAAGATCATTCAGAAGATCAGAAGTTGGGGGAAAAACAATGAATGGGGGCACCTGCCCCATCGCAAATGATTTCGAGATATGTCGTTCAAAGTCTCCAACCACTGATTACGATAATCATGCTGATCCCAACCACGTAGTCGCCGCCTTTTAATAAGTTTCAGTTCAATTGTCAATGACTTCATGAACTGATTCCATGTTTTGGTTAAACCGTCCATAGCTTTTTTCCAACCTAATCTTACACTATACAACATCACCCGACGTGATAGGTAGTGATTTTGAATGTGTCCGATTCTCTTCAAGTATTTCAGTAATACAGTAAGACATAAGCTACTAACATGGTGAACAGTTGTACATGTTCTCGATTCGTATGTTGTCTAATGTAATCCATTCTTCATTTCTTTACTCAATTATATCAAAGGATACAATTATTAATATCTGATATTATTGGATATTTTTTGTATCATTTCAGTATAAGTTTCATTCAAGATGAAATGTGTGAACTTTCGTTCAGTGCGCCGATTCTATTCCTTGTATTGACTAAAGTAAGCTACATTCAATATGTGTATGTTTCTACAGTAACTCTATATATTTTCCCCTATATGTGACCCTATTAAAAATATGTAAAAATTATTATATCAGTGGTTGTATTTTGATCTAAGGATGGATTGGCTTTGCGACTTATTTGATGTGTTCTTTGGAGAGTCAATAAATCCACATTTCATCAGTCTTTTGTGTTTTTATATTACGTAGTGGAAATGACAGTGAGTTCTCAATTGTCAAGTAAAAGCAGGAGGAGTGACGACATAATGGACTCAAAATGTACATAACAGCGATGACACACTGTTAACTATAACAGCGCTGATGACAACTTTTGATAAAACAATGACAATCCGAATTTTAAAATATTGATAGTGATGAATCAATAATTAATTGAACAATCACTTACTAACCGGTCAACATAATCGCCAAGAAATAAATATTTTTGATCTGGTGGTTTACCACATCGTTTAAAATATTGTAATAAATCAGTATGTTGTCCATGTAAATCACCAACAATAATCAATGGTGAAGTAATATGCACAAGAACTGGTTCACTCATAAATAATGCTCGTGCTGAATGAGCAAGATCTAATAATTGTTGTTCAGTAACTCCACGCTGTTATTTTTAAAGAAGAGAACAAATGTAGGAAGGATCAAAGATCTTAAAATAGGATATATGGCTAAATATAAAAACTAGTGTGAAAGTGTTGGGACTTAGAAAATAGAAAACTACTTCAAGTAATCAGTATTCTTTAAAAAGTTATCAGAAGATTCTAGAAAACAGCGGGGGATTACCAAATATATTACCACTTTCAGTTTGTTTCCAAGATGCCTCTAAATGTGTATAGTCCGAGAAATACAGTTGTTTTCTGAACAGTAAATTATCTTCAAAGCAAATTTCATTCCATATTTCCCACCTTCCATTTTCCGTTAAGATTCCAAGAGTGAGAGATTCCTGTGGTTCAGGAAATCGGTATCTAGTGATTTCAGTGAAATATTCATCAGAAAGTACTAAGGGAACATAGGGGATTGTATTTCTTGACAATTACAATTTAGGTGTGCTATGTTTGAAGAGATTAAAAATTCACCTAAATCTGCGAAAGGAACGAAGACAGTAACACAATGACCAAATAAGCTAACCACTCCGATTCGTCCAAGCCCCGCTAACTAGAGAAAGAAGTTCAGCCAGAAGTACGAACAATAACCACAAGCACAATTCAAGCATATATATACAACATAAAAATGTCCTTGAGAAAATTAGCATGTCAAAAGGGATAACGAACCAATGTCATTTAAGGTCCTCGCAAGTGGGTAATACGATATGAAGATGAAAATCACCGCTTTTGGCCCGAAAACAAGAAATTCAAATTCCCAAAATAAAATTACAAAAATAAGACATTTACCAAGTGAGTTCTGAGGATCTAACATCCATAACAGGGTAAGGAATAGCTAGGGAAGTTCTAATGCGATGCCCAGTGAATACTATAAGAATAATTAACAAATCACTATTCTATTGATCATTCTGTAGTTAATTATTTGGCTAACAGACCTAAAAGTTTTGCTTCGTCTGTATATATTTACTAGGTTAACTGGTTCTGTGAATTCAGTCACATCCATTGTGAGACAAGACTAAATTAGAATCTCAGAACAATAAACTCATGGAAATAATAGTTTAAGGCCATTATAAAGACACGAGGAACTTCCTTTGTACGTTACGTAATCTAACACTATAGCTTTTCTGTTACGTCATCACTTCCACCTGAAGTTTGTGCTGATGATGTCGTTCAAAAGAAAAATGAACCAACATCATTTTCAGATAGATTAAAAGTTAATCAGCTCTATAAAGCTATTTCATTCTAGTTTATACTCTTCAGTAATTTGCATCATTGTTAATCAAAAATATTCAAGTTTCATGACAAGCAGATTATCTGAGAGTCGTTATACAAATAGTCTACGTCTATCTGTGATATACCACTGTAGCGAACGAGAATACCAGTTGGGACAATCAAATGTATTTGAACACAAAATTACAGAACGTTTTAGTAAAATCTGAAAACCATACAGTGAATACTTACAAGGATGCGATCAGAACTAAATGACCAAACAAAACTATGATTGATCACTAATCAATAATTAGTCAATTGTAAATATCTCAGTGCCCTTAAATGCCCTGGTACGGCCGATGATGGGAAGAGGCAGCCCCCCCCCCTCGAAGTGCTCTCAATTGGCCACGCAAATACAGCTACTGCCAGGGAGGTCCTACTCACTGCCTTCTCGTGACATTATTGTTGTTTATGAAATTGAGAGGACGAAAAGCAAATATCCGGCGCCCTAACCGGGTTGGTGGATATGGACGATCCACATAGGGGAGTTGGAAAACCTTGATTTCAAACCAATGGTGTACATGGGCTCCAGGATCCTAAGGAAACAAACGGCGTATGAACCTATTGTTATTCACTGGCTACCATGGGACTGCATCTCCTTGCGTTGCTCCACTGCTTTATGGATCAGACTTTTATGTCGAAGGTTCCGGTTGAGTCCTCTTAAGAAAACCATCTGCTTCGGTTTGGGTTATCGAACAGTATCCCAGTCCTCACACAAATCGAACGATGAAGTGTGGCGCATATATATCCAGTGCCCCTTTGTACCAATATTTATGTATTCAAATAAACAAATAATAAATATATCGGTTCTACAAAAGATAAATCGTAACCTAAATATATCAGTGGTCACATCTATGAACTGTGATGTTAGACAATGCAAGTTTACGGCTCACATGAACTATCACCATCTTCAAGAGTTCAGGTACATCATGTTGACGAATACTAAGTTATCTTGTTGTTTATTACTACTAAACAACCTGTCAGCTAATAGTAAATTTTAAAACAAATTTATTTACCATTAAAATTTTAGCTCTACTACTACCAACTTGACGTTGATTATTGGCAATAGTTTTTTCAGTTAATTCAATTGGTAGATCTTTTTTATCATAACTAAGTACTTCAATTAATTGATCTAAATTTAATTCTTCTTGGGATTGCTAAAATTTAACAAAAAAAGAACAAAGATAGATATTAGTATCAGTAAAAGTGGAGATTGTAGTACTTTTATTAGTTGAGTTTGTTGAGGACGATAGATCCCCAACAATCTCATCTTTTGTAATTTTATCTTTGTGGAGCTGGTATGCACATGTATGCTTGGGCATTTCTTACCACTCACACACATAGTCGATCGACGAACTTATCGATTAAATGTTTGAAAACTTCCATGGCAAAATCGATTATATATATATTTGTATAAATACGCTTGATTGTGTGCCTGATTGACCTAACCTGACCTGACCTGACCTGGTATCTTCTTGTTGCCTGTAGAATACACTTTCTACGTCTTACCAAGATTTCTTGATCGAGTTAGCTGAGTCGGGAACAACGGACCAGAATAGTCTGTCGAGACTCTGAATCCTTGATCCTATCGACAAGTCACTGCCCTCTAATCGGCGGCCTTGAGATATAACAAAGTTCATGAGTTAATTAAAGCTAGACCATCATGGAAAATCTGAAAGAATTGGATGACTTTTTCGTTCTTTTATGTTTACTGTTGAAGAGTTCTATACTAAGACGAAACAGCCATCCAGTTGTTGGAAAAAAAGAGATAATAAACTCTTCATTGTGTGTATGCTAGTTTAAACTACTCCTTGAAATTCAGATACAAGGATTAAACAACATATATAAGCGAACAATATTGTTTTCGATTAGATCCTTATCAGGCTTTACTTTAAGTGTTAGTGAACACCTCCCTTCGTTGCTGGGATAAGATACTGTGAATAACACACGCAGCTCAGTTCTATCACATTTGATCGATAGCTGTCATGTAGTAGACAGAAATAAATCATTTAAAGTTGTTTATCGTACCCCCCTCCTACGATTTTCTTTTTTCCCTCAAATATACGTTTCACAGTCCAATTATCTGAACACTTCTTATTACGTAATCTTATAATCTTTTATGAATGTTATTTCAGTGTCTATATTTTTCTAATCATTGACCTATTTTAATAGTTGAATTTATGTGTCAATTGAAGCTAACTCGCTATGGAAAACCTGGGAGCATTAGACAGCCATTTCATCTTATTGTGGGACTCCTCAGGAGTGTGCACCCATGATCCCGCCTCGCGAGACTCGAACCCAGAACCTATTAATCTCGCGCACAAGCGCCCAACCTATAGACTACTGAGCCGGCATCCAACGGTGTTAATGTCTAACTTCAACCAATTCACCTACTTCCCATTATGAAATGTTGATTCAAGCCTTTATTATTCTTATCAAAACTAGTACACCTGTCATCACACTATCAATTTATATTCTTTACTTATCATGTAATCTTTTCTACTGTTATCATTGACTCATAAACTGCCTTGATTGGTTTAATCGTTTTGTATATCCATATAAATATTACTGTATATTAGAGTAAAACCTGATGAGGATCTAATCGAAAACAATACTGTTTGCTTATATATGTTGTTCACAATAAAAATATGGAAATTTTACAAGGATAAACTATCTAGAAAGCCTTCTCTTTACACTTTCATACATGAGTACTGACAAGATTAGGAAAAGGGATTCATCAATCACTGAATAGTAACATTTTTTGTCATCTAGTAAACATAATTTGAGTATCACATTAAAATTGAAGTGATCTTCTTGGTTTTATATCAGTGAGAAAGACTATAACTCTCTTCTATGTAGCTGAAGTTATCAGGATTAATTCCAGTGAAAACTTAACTTTTATAGTCATCTTTATTTACTATGGCCTATGTAGATGTATGTAAATATTATAAACTGATATCACTGATTACTGTTTATTACTGCCCTGACCCATTCTTAATTTACACATCCATTTTTCCCCAATTCACGTGAAGTTCTTATCACTGTTATCATAATTACCATGACACTATCTCTCTTAGACATATCAGATGTATGGAATACTATGGCAGTGTGTATCCATGACCGAACCTAAAGACTTCAGGTCTTGTGTCTAACGCCCTAGTCAGTATTCAACGGTCGATATTTCTAACACTAATCAGTCACTAGAATAACTCAAGCATATCCAAACGGACATTGGCACCTAACATTATGTCTATTGTTCCTTGGTTTCCAATAGTGATTTAATTAAGTTACTTTTAAAGTGTAAACTTCGACTGATATAATAACTAGCAGAAAAAAACTAAATGTTTTATTGATAATCATTAGTTTCATGCTGCTTACGAATATTGTATCCGAGACTTTGTATTATTATACTTAGTAACTACTCAAAATTATTGACTCATAGTGATTCATCATAAAGTGGGATAGACATGAAAATCATTAAAATGTAGATCTTATAAACTGAAAATGCAACACTTCAAAAAATATCATGCTACACTGAGAAATATGATATTCGTGGTGGTGGCGGTGGTGAGAGGGGTTATTCCCTACGGATTATAAGTTCACACCACTGCATGGCTCTGTTCTAGCTCAAAACACTAATCTAGCATTTTAGGGTTTTCAACGATCTCCCATAAGCTTTATATTTAAATACTGAATCATAGAAGAGATAATTTCCAGTATACAATACATTATAACAATGAATAGAATACAACAATACTAAACATACCATTTATATACATATAATGATAACAATAGTAAAATTCTGTTACGTAATTGGTATAATCCATAAACTCAATCTGGAAGTACCAACAGTTTTATCGTTTCCTTAGTTGAAAGGATCAAATCATCTAAGATAATATTCGTTATGAGGAGTGAATGAGAAAAGAATAAATAATGATCTATTGAATTCATTTTTTTATGCTTGTCCATCGTTGTATACGTGTGTGTGTGTAAGTGAGAGAGAGAGAGAGAGCGAGAGAGAAGGAGGTCTTGTGTATCCAATCTCAAACCAATGATTCCATGAATTTCGAACCTTGACTAATTAAGGGCGTTTCACTAAGAAATGTTATGTATATGTATATGTAACATCAAAATAACCGAATAATGTTGGAAATTATATTGAAATGTACAAACGTCTTTTTTGAAAAGAAAAAAAAAGACGATTGGTTCATAGAAACTGTTACCTACTATAAATGTACTTAACTAATTGAATAACACATATTCACCCAACTTACATATAATGAATATGGATATAATTAAAAGATAAATATGAGATCAGTTGATATGGTAACTCAAGTAAACAAGAGATTAAATGGAATGAGTTATTTTTCATTTCGAATCATAGATAGAGGGGGGGTGGATGGCAGTTGAGGATGGTGAATATATATTACCTTCGTGAGTATCCGTTTTATTGTGGTAAAAAAAAGAAATGACATTATATCGACCCTTTCTTGATAATATAACTAGTTATAGATAAGTTATTAAATGACATTTTATCTTTCATTAAATATTGAACTTGAAACAACTTGTTCCATTTCGTCATTGTATGTAAATCAATTTAGTATAATTTCAAGGAGGGATTCAATCTTTTCTAGTTTATTATTGACTTAATGAGAATAATTGAATACATGCATATATCAGAATGGGTTTTGTGGAGAGTTTTAGAAATTTCACAGGTTGAAATCATGAATCGACTGAAGCTAGACCACCATGGAAAACCTGGAAGAACTGGACGGCCGTTTCGTCCTAGTATGGGACTCCTCAGCAGTGCGCATCTTCGTGGATTGGTTGAAGTAAGACATTAACACCCCCGGGTACCCGCTCAGTGGTCTAGTGGTTAGGTGCTCGCATGCGAAGCCAGTGGGTCTTGGGGTCGAACCCCGCGCGATACGGGATCATGGATGCGCACTGCCGGGGGGTCCCATGCTAGGACGAGACGGCCGTCCAGTGCTTCCAGGTTTTCCATGGTGGTCTAGCTTCAGTCGACTCATGGTTTCAACCTGTGTAACATACATATATACTACTGGTTAGTTTTTGTATACATATAGATTTTTTAATTTCTAACTAGAGAACCTCTAACAAATGGAAAATACATGAGGGTCTATTAATGAAAAGGAATGTAGAAAAGCATAAATAACTCAGATAACTTAAATGCAAATTGGCTTAAATCTTAGAAAGTAATATGAATCCCTACAAATTGGTATATCCATCTGTGTTTATTAATGATTCTTATTGTTATATCCCGATGAGAATAATGAATGGTAACTGTTGGAATCCATTTATGGACTAATACAAAACGTATATTTTTATCGTATAATTGTTAAATAACTAAACTATTCATATTCGTGTTCCTACTATCACAAGCTTTATCTTGATCTATGAACTATTATTATAGGATTTACCGTTGTTGAGTTATGCTCAATCTATCAATCACTATCTCCCACATTCACAGCCACTTTTGGCTAATTCTTGTACAAATGTTATTTTCTACTTTATGGCACGATGTGGTCTGTTTGGTCTGTATATAAACCCAGTATGCTTGAAATAAATGATTCATATCACAGAAGCTGAGATGGGTGTTCTGGATTTAACAGGCTGGGCTAGGCGGGAAGTAGGACAGATAAGGACTCTAGACTTCACGTACGGGTTTTATGCGTCCTTTGATCCGGTCGATAATTCCCTGTTCTCTAATTGGCGTTTTCATCACGTTATACATTAATAGGACACAGGGCAAAATTTATAACACTTATCAGTTGTTTACAAACACAAAAATGAAAGAATCTGTGAATAGATTAAATGAACAAAATGAATATGACAAGTTGTTTAAAAAAAAAGTCCATTTAATGATTTACACCAAATGGTTGATTCACGTATAAAACCCACAATCCGAAACAAGTTATTTGTCCAGTTAAAAAGGTGTTCAAACCCTTTAAAAGGTATGAAAATACGATTAAAGACAAATCACTTTACAACTGTGTTGAATTCAGTGGTAAAACAAAACAAGATAAAATGACATAAACTACTGAATATTAGTAAGTAACATGACATAATTTACAAAAAAAGCGCCTTATAAGAAGGAAATGACAATGAATGGTGTAAAACAGAATTAGCACAAGTGCAGAAAAAAATTCACAAAATTGAATTAAGATATCGGATTCTGTTACATTTGAGAAGTGGGGTATACATTTTTGTGTACATATATACAAATTTTGTGTTGCTAGGTCAATAGTACAAATTGAAGAATTCGACTGACAAATATTCACGAAAATGAATTTATTATTTATTTATTTCAACACATAGATAATGTTACAAAGAGGCACCAAATACATATGCGCCACACAAATCTCATTCGATATGTATGAGGGCTGGGATACTGTCCGTGTGCCCAGACCGAAACAGGTGGTTTTCTTAGCGGGCCACACCCCGAGCCTTCGACTTGAATGTCTGATCCACAAGGCAATGGAGCATCGTGAGGAGATGCAGTCATATGATAGCCGATGACCAACGATTCTTACACCATTTGTTCCTTCAGGATCCTGAAGCCAATGTGCACCATTGCTTTGGGACCCGGTTAAAGCGCCGGACATTCGCTTTTCGTCCTCTCAATTTCGTAAACAACACCCCCGCCACGAGAAGGCAGTGAGTATCCAGGACTAAATAGAAATCAAAACAAACAGAGAAATAGAACTAAGAGGAAGCTTACTTTTCTAAATTGAATATTAAATTTTAGTGCGAAATATGAGAAATTAATGTAAACATGATATGGAAGTATTTGAAATGTAACTGTTTGTATAGTTAAGATTTCGTTCGTCATTCAAAAGACTGAACTATGGTTAAACTGTAATTCTTGTTCCACAAATGCAATGCAAGTCACAATTCTGAAATGTTTTTAGCTACCGTCGTTCTATGATCATATATATATCTATAATATATTGAAGGTTTTGTTTAAAATAGACTATACTCTATTCAAAATATTACATGAAATTCAACATTATCGTTGTAGATCATTATAATCAATACGAATAGCCACACTCTGAGATTAGCTGAACATGATGGTAAATAAATGAGAGGAGGGAAATGTGGTTCAAAATGAAAATGAAGCATGAAAAATGTAAGATAGAGAATAAATAAGATAGTAAAACTGAGACTGACTTCATACTGTATGATCCAATGTTATCAGTCATATATTTCGACTGTTACATGAGCCTCAACTGGCCAGTCTACAGCAAAAAAAGTTGCTCTGACGACAAGTTGATAACCGCTTGATCTGATCTTATGTCTTCTTTAGCTCATCATAAGCTTTCATCTGACTTATTCTTATGTTCGTTCAAGATGACAATGGCGTGACATATGTTTTGGCCCATACAGATGATGTGAGGTAATAGACGAATCAATCAACTTGCTATCTTTATCCAGTCTCAGTAATACTTACTCCATGATTATTGAATTTTTAAGCGCAATTATGACGAGACATGATCCCTTTTTGACTCCATTTTCATATCTACCTGTTGTAAAAGAAGACATTTGACATAAGACTAGTTTTATTCTTGAATGTTCAAGTTAAGTAACTTCTAAAATGTCAGTAAAACACCAAACAGATGTTTTATTTAATTTTGTTAACTACTGACCACTACACAACGATAATTTCAATTCCCGTAATGAACAAAACTGTTACGACCCGATAAACATAATGAATGGTAACTTTGGGATCCTTTATGGACCAATACTAAACGTATATTTTTATTGTATAATTGTGATATGATGGAAAGAAAAGTCAATTTTCGATTGATTTACTCATTATGAGTTTTGTTCAACATTCAACAAACGTTTTGATTCAACATGAGGATCATTCAGTGTAGTATTTGATTGTTTCCTAGCATGATATTCTCTTCTGTATAATATACGATATTCTTGTATTCAGTTGGCATGAACTATGCTCAGTAAGTGATCTGTTATAACTGAGTATGTGATCTAATCCTAATTATTAATCAAAATGAGTGTACCATCAATATATAAACCAGTGTATTTTAGACTAGATTCGATTTGTCGTCGTCATAGTGTTTTGGGGCTAATAAATCTTCATTTATGCCAATCTTGTATTCTTACTTTCTCATCGTGGGAATTGCCGAGGTCCCACGTTACGAGTATAAGTGATCAGCGCTTTTGTTTTTCCGGCATAACAAAAACATATATTCTAATTTTAATCGATATGTGATGTAACGGCCTAGTCATTGTCCATTACTATTACCTATTAGGTAATCACTTTTATTCCGGCCTTATTACTTAACAAATTATGGATATCAATATTTAAAACTATTCAAATTCATAGT